ACGCCATAAGATTGAGTTTCAAGAGTTTTCAAGAAAAACTCGAGTGTTTTTGATATCTCGAAATTTGCTCAAGGAGAATTCAAATGGAATTACTTGTTACTTGAGTTTTCGAAGTATTTACGAATCCTTGAAACTGCTTTTTGCGATATTAAGCGGTCTTGTTTTCACAGGAAGAAATCGTGAAACAAAACAAATCCGTTCGTCGATTTGATCCACGATTCTTCGTCTCTCTATCTCTCATCCGAGTTTCAATATTCAAATGGTCCCGCATACATTGTTGGTCGCCGAGAGATTCTATAGTGAAGATCATAATCCATGAGGCAGTAGCGAAATCGGCGGAACAGCCTGGCATTCAACAGGCCTCGAACCAGTGACCCAAATCCATGGCGCTTCGAGACGTACGCTTTTCTAGAATCGGATTATCGGTCAGCATTTGTGCCCAATATTCTTTTAATTCTTGCGCTCATTTCGATGCTATGTAAAACGATATCGTACTTCCGTACTGACAGAATGTCGAATAAGATAGACGTGGTTCGATACATGTTAATATCGGCACTCAATTCTTTTCAAAACGATCAGATAAAATGGGATACGTGAAGGATATAGAGATAATATAGTAATAATGTAAAGTCAGCAACTACCGAATTTACGAAAAGAATTTCGCAAAGCTGCTATTATAATAATATATCATGTTTATATACCGTAATAATAAGCTTTGCATAGTTATAATACGTTCTTCTTAATTTAACATAATAACATATTCTATATACTTAGAACGCCACACATATTACAATGTTAGTCTCATCGATTTAGGCAAAAAGATTATACAATTAAATATCTTTAATTATGGTAAATTGTACTTATGTACAATCATATTAATCTATATATATTCAAATCATGTTGCTACATGTACAATACTCGATTCGCTTACATTATTGAGACGGATGATAATTTAAAATTTCAATAAACCTCCTGATAAAAAAGATATTTGCTTTCGAGATATGTACGAATTACGATAAGCTTGTTGCTAAATAACATATTGGGATTCAAATACATATTGAAATTAGTAAAATGAATTTGCACAATATATATAAAGATTATAAAATATTTACAATATAGGAAGTTATATAATGCGTAATGTGCAAATCAAAATTTTATATATCTTTTTGTATTTAATAGTCAGAGCGCCTCTTTTAACATAAAAATTGTAGATACTTTTATATAAGACTTAAAAAGAAATATTAATCTTTAATAAGAGACACTTATAATATACTTAAAAATTTTATATTGGCTCGAAGCACCGCGAACGAAAGACTCACACCGTGACTGTGAAATCGCCGAGAAACGAAGTTAACCCAAATCCATACATATATCGTAACGGTGTTTTCGAGGGAACGAATTATCGGACGACCCATTTTCACCCAATGTCGCCAACTTCTTTTTGACCGTTTGCCGACGTGGAAATGATAACACGCGCCTGCCAGGCGCCAAAAAGGAAAAATGGTGTTCGCCGGATGTCGATAAGACTCACCCATCGTTTCGCGAACCGAATGGAAAAACGTCGTTTTCCGCGACGTTCCACGTCGCGGTATTTACGCGTCGACGTAGCGCAAACTTTTGCGAATATTTAAAAAGTTATCTGTTCACCCCGTAACTTTCTCACCTGGACCGAGTTTTCGGACGTCGATACATCTCGGACGTCGCGCCCGCCCGCGCCCGCGAAAGTTAGGCGCGGCGCAAATTTGCGTTTCAGAAAGTTTCGTTCACACAAGTCTCACTGCACAAGTCTCGGCGAGACTTCTTGGCACGCAGCTCTCCCAAAAGTTCCATCTTCCGAATAAAATTTTATTCAAAGAGTAACATAAAAATTCACTCGAATAATACAATTCAATTTTATAAATGAATATCTAAGTGATTGAAATATATATAATTGGCATATTGCTTTTGAGACTATATATAAAAATTTAAGATTACTCAATATTCAAAAATTTATCGCAGGAAATAGAATTCCATAAATACACTAAAATTGAAGAACAATATATTTAAATAGGACTAATACCTGAGTATTCTCTTTGTTTTCTCGTGAGAGATAGAAATCGGGGGAAGCTGCTTTTATTTCCACTGCACTTTTTAAATAAAACTTAAATAGTTTCTTATATGTAAATGTTCCATTCTTAACACAATTAGATAACGGATACTTATATAATTCTTCTCAGAGATTCTTCAGAGATTTCGTTGCTTCACTGAACAAACTGATAATTGCGCTAAATTATGGCTAAAAGAAACGATTCTCGGTTTACAGGCTCGATTCGCTTCAGCTGTCGTTAACGCGAAAAGACGAGGAAAAGTACGAAAGGCACAGATTACTCTCCTTCCTTTGAGAAAACGGTGCCAAAGAACGAAGACCGATCTGTATGTTTGACTTCACCGGAACGTAACCGTTTGATTATACTACGCCCGTCTAATATTATACCTTCGCTGTTCCGGCAGACTCTCGGGCTACATTGTATACGCAAATTTAATACCGCGTAATAGCACATGCGCGCAGCAGGATATACTTCGGTAATCCCCTTCAAAATTTCAACGGCGGTGTTATATGCGCAAGCCGCACGATGCGATCGTTAGAACGCATAATGGGTAACGCGTAAGTCGATATGCTCAATCGCTTTGTTACGCGCGAACTGCCAATGCAGTTGGGCTAAAGATGCGATGTAATGCTGATTCTCTAACGCGTTCCTGCGTACACATAATAGCGCTACGAGAATAGCACTCGGAAAATAGCTTTACCTGCTGGATAAAAAATTAAAATTCGTGAATTATGAAAAAATTACGCTACGCGAATCTACGGCACGTAAATTGCATGAACATTCTGTCAGAAATTAATTTCAGAGTGATAAAAGATGCACAGACCCTTCAGAAGATGAATTTTGGTATAATAAAGTGCTATTTCATTTTCATCTTGCTCTTTACATTATGGATGGCGTAACGAGTCGCCTCTCATCAAATTCAAATTTGGTACCAATTTTTCTAGGTAACAAAAAACATCAAAAAAGGTTATTATTTATTCCAAGTGTTCAATTTTTAACATTAAGTGCTTTTTAAACAGCCTGAATTAAAATATTTATTAAAGAATAAATTTATATTATTTTGGAAATTGGTTGCAAAAATATCGCATCTAATATCTAATATAATAAAAAAGAGGTTGAAAATCAATTAAACACATACCTTTCTCGACATTTTCTAAAAAATGACTTAACTTACATGTTATTCTAAAGACATGCTTTCTAAAGACTCAGAAAGTAGCTCGTTGATGTATTTAAGTTAGAATTCCCTGTGTATCGAGCATGTTAACTATAAGAAATTTTAATGGAAATAATATCTTTATAATATCTTTATTTCACATTGACTTGTGTAAGATTTTTTCTTCAATCGTCCTATACGCCAAATAGTAAATAGTTTTCGTTACGTGGTGAGAATTCTGTAGGTAGAAACCCTCTGGGGGATTTATCGCGCCGTTAATTTTACGGGGGTACACGTCTGGTGAGAGCACATGGAACAACCTTCTCGAACGTGGAGCATCCACAGGTTGTCGTCTGACCTAATCTGACCTAACCCAAGTGATTAAGGACGTTGAATCAATGGAGACAAGACGAGGAGGTTTCAAGGAGACCGTATCTCTTATCAAATCATTATCCTTTTATTAAATCATTAGCCTTCTCAAACGAAGAAGCTTGTTAAATTTCGTCGAAGCGCAAAATGCCCAACGAAATGTAAAAACCTGATATTTCTCTCATTAAACTGAAATATTGAGCTGAGCAAATAAATAGGAAATTTCTCGGTCATTGGGCAACTTGTCGGTTCAATACTGTCATACGAGTTCAAAACGTACCAGCGATATTCAGCTTTTCACAAAACTGGAGTGTCCTCTAATATCTTTCATCTTAATTTCTCGAGTGGAATAAGGATTTTTAAGATATTTAATTGCAAATAATTTTTAAACTTTTATCAATGTTAATTTAAGAGTATGAAAGGACAAGCTAGTTTTTTGAGAAGGTCACGTTACAAGACTGACCGATATAATCGATGCGCAGTACTATGTATCGCTATGACTTTTCGAACTCAAGCACTGATATCAGACTGATGATTGAAAAATGTATTTACTTTATATTGTACACTAATGTGTTGGTCGCTATTTGTTTGTTTGAAATATTGAAGTTACTGGGCTTTACAACACGTTCTTGCGTCATTAAATTCACCTTTTACGATCTTCTTGAATAGACACTCGTTTTGCTCGTCTGTGACTCGACGAGCATAATAATTGAAAGCGAAAATTGAAAGAATTACATTAAGAAGTTTTGTCAATTGTAAAAATTGCTCTCCAGCTTTCGCAGCATTATTGTATATTCTGAAACCAACAGATTCGCGTCGCGTTTCAATAATGGTAGGAAGAATTATATTTCGAGGACAACAGTTCTCTCTATTTTCCTTTTTCCTGCTCGTCTTGGCGAGACTTAGCTTTGGATCCTCGTAGCTTGATCTCCTGAAAGGCTTGACAACAAACGAATGACAACGTTCTAGAAGAAATTTTGGTCTTGGTAGATTTGTTGCCGTACGCTCCGTTGCTCCTAACCATTGGAGGTAGGCTCGCGAAGGTGGAATCAATACGTGAACCTACAACCATCTCTACGTACACAATGCTAGCCGGCCAAGCCCGACAAGAGCAATGTGTATGTACCATCTCGTACCTCTCGTTTTCTCCGTCGACTGTTGCTCAATGGTCGTGGCTCTCTCTCTCCCTGGTATGTGTTCCTCTTTAAACCCCTCTTTTTCCCCTCTCTCCTTCCAACTTCTCCGCATGTGTCCCCACTTTTATTTGCGCCGATTTTCTTCGCCTAGTATTTTTTCTCTCTTTTTTTCTTCTCTTACTTTCATGATGATGCAAAATCCTGCCGGATGAATGCCAGCTCCCCTTTTGACGGCGCGCCTTCATTCTGTTCCAGGAAATTCAGCGCCGTCACTCCATTTTCAGGCCCAGTCAGCGCACGTTGGCCGACACAGTTCGGTAAACAAATGCTCTCGATGTAATTTATAGCTTATGCACTTTCCTCTCCTTAAATTACTCGCAAGTAGTTCAGCTCTTTCAAATGTGATTGTTCTTCCTTCCCATTTTATTCTTTTTCGTCAGTGAAATTTTCATCGCTAGTTTGATTTACAATTGAAAATCGGTAAATTAAATTAAATTGATAAATACACAAACACAAATCTTTCATCCGGCCATTATCCGTATATTTTATTCCCACAGAACGCAATGACAGACGCGTAACAGCCCATTTTATAGAAGGCCTCTTTCAAGGTTTAGGACTTGAGTCTATCTTTTTGAGAATGTTTGCAAACAATTTACACACATCTTGCATTCAGCTCAAACACAATTTGCAGAGTATCAGCATTCAGCTCGAATTCGCAAATATATATATATATATATATATATACACACACATATACTTCCCTTTCTTGCGCGTGTGTAACGACAGTGAATCTGTTTGATTTGCAGGAATGGGGAGTGTCGGCAGCAACGTGACAGGAACGACGACGACAGATCCGACGACGTTCCTGCCAGACGCAACGCCGACTTTAAGCGAGCGCGAACAGGTCAAAATCGAATTTTACAAAACGTACGACGTCATGACGGGGATACGGATCGCCGCGACCCTCGGCGGTTTTTTCAGCTTAATGGTGTTGCTGGTAGTTTACAAGAGCAGGTGATTTTAAGGATGTTTAAAACGGCATTTGCATTGTCGTTAAAATACAATTAGAATTATGGGTTATATATTTATCAGATGCAAAGCGAGCAAACAATTGGAAGACCCGGCTTTGACTGCGGCAGCAGCCGCGGCGGTCGCAGAAGCTGAAGCCGAAGAACGCGCACTCGCCGTCGCTCTCGAAGCGATCGCCAGGTTACCACCCAGGCCGGGTCGTGGTCCGAGAAGATCTTTGTGCGTTGAGGTATATCGTAGCAACCTAAATATTTCCGTTAAAATAATTAACAAGTACACATATATCCCTAAAATTAAGTACGAGTTCTCCTAAAAGTGAAATCATTAGCGTTAGAACATTAGCAAAATTAATGTTCTATTTTTAGTTCTGAGAAATTAAATGATGTATTTTAAAGTTTCTTCTTAATATTTGCAAGAAATTATAAAATACGATGTCAATATTCATTACCGAATTAGGGCGATTTTTATTTAATAACTAGAGCTTGTTTACATATTGAGAAAATTATATATTGAAACATCACTATTGATTAAATCGTGCAGTTTTCGATAAGTAACACAGTTTTAAAACTTTGCCGGGAGAGCGTTAAAGTTTTGGACTGATACCAAAAAAGTCGTGGTACGTTTCACAGAGCTCTTTATTTAAGAGGGTTGCGTTTAGTTTGTAATTTGTCTGTTCGCCAAGCACTCGTAATTGATAGAAATATTTACATCTCAGATGAACCAGTCTCATTCACCCGTGGTGGCACCTCGCTTCGCCTCAGTCGGAGGTGGATACGACTCCCTGCTGGCACCGCCAATCAGGCAACCGAGGTTGGCTCCTCCGGTCGATCACAGAAGATGTAGCTCGGTCACCTGCAGCAGCACTGGAAGTAGTTATCTGGAACGAAGGGGTTCAGCCATGGTAATGCCGTGCCTTCCGCCTCCTCCATCCTTCCCGCGTCACGCCGCCTACGATGAGCCATGGGATTTATATTACCCTATCGATATTCAGGTAGACACGATATTTGCGATCGCATATCTTTCGACATGGCTTTTTCTGATCTTAATTCTTCTTTTAGTCTTTATTTTGTAATTACTTATTCACTATCTTAGATAACATGATTAACTATTATAAATCTACTATAACACAATAATAGCTTTACAGTTTCACATTTTAGATTATAACTTAGCCTGTTACAAATAATAAAAAAAAATTAGTTAAACCGCAATTAGTATTAAGGAACATCACGAAATATTATTCAAAATTTATTAAAAACTTGTGATGTAATCAGGTAATACAGCCAACCCCAGATTTATCGCCGTGCGGTAGCGAGGTCGGTCTTTATGCTGGGGCAGTCGGCAGCCTTATGGCGGCGTCGTCGGGCAGAAGAGCGCCGTTGGCATCGATGGGTAGCGTGGATCCTCCCGATCCAGAAACCAGGTCGCTCGGCTCCGATTCCGTCTTCCTGAAGAACGAGGACGAGGAGCAGTGCATCGACACTGAGGACGAAGTTTCGGGTTTTTCCACGGACTCGGACGCGCCTGGGCCAAGCTGTCGGCGGTTCCTACGGGTGCCTTCTAGGAAAAAACGGATCCCCGAGAAATGGGACGGATGCGCGGGCTGCGTGCCCAGACGACGAGCCGGTAATAAACCCTGCCAAGAATGTATGACCATCAGTGCCGCTGTCGAAACCTCCAGGTGAATTTCTATTACGAATTCTCATATAAAGAAAAAAATGTTGCTGTCGCAGCAAGAGATCATCGTCGTTACTGCGAATTTAAAGCAACAAACTTCTGCTACTAAAACTAATAATAATATAACAAGCACGTGTAAATATTAATAATCACAAGAATACCAGACATTCCGAGTTCGAATTTTTTTCGATAAAACAACTATATTAAAGAAAAAGGAACTTTAACAAAATATTTTTATCGCAAAGAAAATATTATCAAAGAACCTAATTATTACTTGTTATAAATTATAAATTTTTATATATTTACGCACTTGCATTAGTATGTTCTGGTCTTAAACTTCTTTTCTTTCTTTTATATATTAAAGAACACAATTCATTTTTAATTAATAAACCTTTGATAATAGGTCGCAACCAGCTTCAACGACAACCAGTAGCAGTCAGAGTAGCGTGGGATCTCCACCGTGTTCACCGCCGATCGAACTGAGGCACAGACCACCAACGCCATTACCATCAATCCCGCCAATATGGTCCCAAGAAACGCTCTTTTAGGATGCGTTTTTCGTAGTGACCATGTCCTTCGACTTGTTTTTATCGAGACACGAAGCTAAACCCAGAATGTCGATATCTGAGGAAATCATTTGCCCAAAAAATTGATCTGGTCTTTAACCGTCTTGTATCTCTAAATAATTTTCTCTCTTTTCTCTTGGATCCTGTCGCCATTAAAATATATTTTACGTGAATTTGAAAATTCAATTGTTATATCGGTCAGTGAATTCGATTACAATTTATGAATGCAACAATTGCGATTATAATAAAATTGTTATAAAAATATTTTTAAAAAAATCTAAATTTTGATATAACAAAATAGAAAGTAAACAAAATTATATCATTGAAAACCGTAATCTTTACAAATCGTAAGAACAAAAAAAAGAATAAAAGTTAATCAATAAAGAGGAGAAGCGGAAGAAGAACGTACGAGCGAGACGTGGAGATGAACGCCGGAAAGCATTTTCGTCCGAACGTGAGGAAATATCGGAGATTTTCGATATTACAGCGGTGACTTCTGTCCCGAAACCGGAGCAAACCCATCTTAAGGTAGACTAAATCGAAGGCATTTTATGTCGACTGTATGGTACACTCCATGACAAGCATGAAACTCGGATCGGATTACCCGCCCATTTAAAGGACGCGTCTACAACCCGCGAGACGAGGCTGACGGCGACTTAGTCTAACTATACTTGAGATCTCATCTACCGACGTATTTCAGACGTCTGCCTACTCCATCATGCTCCAGAATAAGTTGGCGAACAATACACGCGCGCGCGGTCGCGTTTATCTAAAGTTCATATTAACTGCATTGTGGCTGTACCAACCAGCATCCCAACGCACCAGAGAAAGTGCGCACAATTTATCTCGCATCGCAAGCCGTGCTCCACTACTATCTTATTTAGTCGAAGAAGATTGGGCGGCATCATTATTTCCCGTCACTCGCCACATTCTCGACAATACTCTCTTCGACGACATTCTCTTCATACGAGCATTCTTCGTAACATGACCAGACGCACATCGACATCCGTGATCCATTTAACAACGAAAACAAGCAAATGCACTTCCTCGCTTAAGACATTCGTGGCGTCCCAACGTGACGTTTGTAATGCCTCTCGAGATCGCGAGATCTCAAGTGGCCAAACTTGGGAGAAGGGCGCATGGTGATCTATATCGCACAAAGGAGAATATCCGAGAAACGAGCGGAGAAACTCGTTCCGATCGATCAGGGTGAACCGCGTAACTCGCAACTCAGGAGACTGTCGAAGGAAGGCCGATCGACAATGCGGGGGAAATAGGGAATTATTTTTATACAAGCGCGACGATAATCAAGCTCGTTGAACTGATCGTGATGCTTCTCGTGAAAACAATAATACGCGCGCAATACTCAATTGTATGACGTCAGTGTAACATGTGATTGTCAACGAGACGAGCGGATGGAAGAGTGAAATAGAAAGAAGAGAGAGAGAGAAAGAGAGAGAGAGAGAGAGAGAGAGAGAGAGAGAGAGAGAGAAACGGGGGAAATAGCACTTTCGCTCGGATAATCGTCGAACCGGATTTCCCCGTCGCAATTTTCCCGACAGAGAAAACTGCCGGTTCGCCGTTGATCCGACGTTTCTCTAACGCGAGGAAAACAACGTATTTCTATTCGTGTAATCTTGTAAGCTCTGTAAGGTTTTGGGTGTACGTGTACGTGTCTATAACCCTCTTGCGTACGATAGATAAACACCGTGCTCGATGGAGGGGAACCGGAAACTGGGCGACTGCCGTATATGGTCTCGTAAAAACGGCGAACCAAAGTTGCCAAAATTCCTTGATCGCCGTATTTTGACAAGGTGATCTATTATATCGATCGTTTCGCAAAGTTGCTTGGTAAATTTCTATCCGGACTGGAATATCGATCGATTAGATATTCCACGGAAACAGAAATCCCCGCAATTAGGCCTGTATCTAATCTAAAGAAATCGTAAGATATTTAAAAGAAATAAGAGGAGAAGAATATGTGAATTTATTTCAGTTTTTTATCCCCGTCAATTCAGTGATATTAGCTGACGAGAAGCTCGCTGGGTGTAGAAAATCGAATTTATTAAAATGTTAGAGCGCGTCGGTGTAAAGAACGAAAAGATAAAAAGAGAGACATATAGTAGACGAGACATATTTATCGTTGACAAGAGCAACTTGTGTCTATTTTCGATAAAAGATAAAAAGTAGTTGAACCAGACGAGCCATATATCTCCATGTCATATGCCTCTATGTCTACATCTGGAGACTTTTCCACGGAGGCTAACATCACTGCCGGTCAGCCCCTCCAGGCACACGACGATAAACGAATAAAAATAAAGCAGAAATTAATACACATTTACGTAAAAGCAAAACGAACGCACGAGGACTACCTAACATTGTTCTAGCCAAGAGTTTGTATAGTAGACGAATAAGACGAGCCGAGAAGTTATTATAATATATCGGGATAAAAAAAAAAGAAGAAAAAGAGAAGAAATATATATAATGTAATAGGCGCCACGCACGCAGTGCTGCGACCGTTACTTTTAGATAGGTGTACATACACGTCGTGTTACGATGCGTTACGTTGCGTTGAGCTTATACGACAGCGACTCGCCCTCGCTGATCGACAAAGAGCGGAGGGAAGGCGAGACTCTAACGTCGTCGATCTACATGAAGAACTTTACATTACGTTGGCTGCGTTCCAAACTTCGCCCCGGAGGTACGAATTTAACAAGCCGCAAAACAAAACGCGAAATACGAGAAATACGAAGAGAATATATAATCACGACTACATGAAACTACAGACCCGTGTAATTCCCTCTAATAATTTATATACTGCTATCCGCTATACTCTCGACCATTAAGCCGAAAAAACGTCAACTTTTGCGGACCTAAGAGATTAAGAGAAAGTTTCTCGGAGACAGAAAGGAAAAGGGAAAGAGAGAGATGGCGGGAGGTGTCCAAACTTCAAGGAATACACGCAAAAGTTTCGTGATAAATAAGGGAAAGTCCCTAATTGGATATTGTATGCCTTATTGAATCATTGTTATATATATGTATATAAAAGCTGACATTTCGCTTGAGAATTACGATAACGTCGTGAAAAAGTAGTCGTCACAGGAGGCGAAGTTTTAGAACGCGGCTGTAGGAGAATAAAACAGAATTATTACTATCGCGAGGTGCGCTTTGCTATACGCCGACACGCCGACGAATTCGTTCCACCCGAGTTCCTTCTGTTGAGACGTATCACCGTAATTTTTTTTTTTTTTTTTTTCAATAAATAATACCTTGCGAACAATTAGGAAAACAGTCTATTTAAAATTCCTTCGAGAACCCTTGACGTGAACTGCATATATACGTTCATTAGTACGAATGTATTGTATAGTTCTATCGTTGTGTCAACAGTGTTAAAATAGTCAAGATAATTTCCACGCGACGTCGCGTAAACGAAGATCAAGTACATATTTCTCGTTTGCATTCTTATTAAAGTAATTAACCGGGAACAAAGTTTTCAACGGCGCGTGGCGTACAGCAAGCCGCCCCGTAGTCGCGTAAGACAAGGAGCTTGAAAACTCGCGAGTGCTGCCGAATTGCCAAATGTAACAATCAAACAGTGTCTAGTTGAAGTATAAAATTCAAAAAGAGCCGAGGATAATCTATGCGGATATATATACGCGCGAATAGATGCGTGAATGTGCGCGATTGTGCGTGCGTGTGCGTGTGCCAAGTAGTTTAGCACAATTTTGTATATACATATACATACATACATAAATGTACATATGTATTTATGTATATGCATATACATATATATGTATAAATAGGGCGAGTGCGAGACTTTTTAGAGACTGTACACGAACGAGTCCGTGATTGATTTTAGCATCTAACGTTCATACAACCACGTGAACCTTTTCTCGGTGCCTTTCTGCTGCACTTCTTCCATCGTCGTTTAGAAAAATATACACTTTCTTCACTATCCTCTCATTAACCATTCTCCTCTCTATACTCTCTTCCCTTATACTGACTCCTTTTTAGGAGTGTTTCCGCGCGATGCCGCAAGGAACCTGAACGAATTAAAGTTAAATCTACTCATGTTTTTTTCTTTTTTCAATTCAGTTCTTTTATCTCTAGCTAAAGATATCAGATATAATTTCATTAAAGAGTATCCAGAAAGCAAAGAAAAACACTTTAATGTACGAAAAATATACTTACTAATTTTAAAAAAGTTATATTTAATTAGAATGGAAATTATCGTCTTGGTTAAACTTGTTTAGAAATTAAGTTTGATTAGTTGTCAATTTGATAAAATTAAAAATATGATACTGGTTTCTTTTTAACTAAATATTAAAAGCAAAGATGTAGTTCTTCAAAAAGTTATATTTTTATTACTTCTATAACATATTTGCAGACATTATGCAGACATTATGTATGTTGTTAAATTTTTGTCGGATTTAAATTTTAATAACATTGTTTGCTTGAAATTTTAAATTTAAATAATAAATGTAAAATAAATGGAAAAAGAATCTGTTGATGATGCTATCGGGAATAATGGACAAAAATTATTTATTTATAATAAGTTTTAATAAATAGTTACATTGTAACTAATTATTTTAATCCAAAAATAGTGCTTCGTTTGGAATTAATATTTTGTACTACATTTTGAATATTTTCTAAAGCTAGCTAGAGAAAAATGAGAAACTGTAGTGGTGCGGCTGCACGGAACCTCTCTCATATTAACGATTATAGACCTTCGTACTTTTATAATTTTTCTACTCTTTAACATTAGATACTTTTAAGAGTAAGGAACTGTTACTAGAATTCGCGCCTAGATTCATTGAACATATATTGATAAAGATAATTATACAACTTCTCTTGACTTGAATTATTCGTTTTTAAGACCCATCACATCTCTTTGAGATGCGTTATATTGATTTATTAAAAACACTTATTGTTAAAATTAACAAATAGAATAATTTCTTTAAAAACACTGTTTATACTTTAAGTTTTGAATAATTAATTTCAAAGATACTACAATTTCATTACAGTGATAACAGTTACTTTTCTTCATTAATGCAGTCTTCATCTTTCTCTTCCCTCTTTTATTACATCCACAAAATCTGCGTTTGTTTATTCCTATTGGGAAATATTGGGAAAATAAAATATGTAATACACATAACGTGCAGTATTATAGATTTTATTTTCCCAATAGCTCCCAATGTGAATAAACGAACGCAGGCAAATTAAACTCTTGCCAAAATGAATGTCTACAAACAGTTTTTTTATTTAATATTCTTTTTACTAAATATACATACATTCTCACAATAATGAGCTTAATGAGTAGTTCTCACAATAATAAGCTTAATAAGAATTGAACCAATGTCAATTTTATCTTTATCGACATTTTACCTTTAGAAATTTACGAAAAGTATTTGGGTTAATTCTCCTATCCCTTCCAAATAATAGGAATATAGGAAACTCAATAGTTATTGCATTTCTAGTATACCACATGGTTTTCTAATATATACGACTGATATAATTCCCGATATATACAGGGTGAATCATTACATAGATATATACAGGGTTATCACGATACAAATTTTTTAAAACTAAACAATTTTTCCTTAATCTAAATTCTAAAGCATCTAGAGAAGCAATTAACATGAGTAAATTTGTCCATAGATGAATCATCCTGTATATAAATACAGATAATACAAATTAAAGCTTTGGCAATTTTTTCAGCTTTTGCGTAAAAGGTATTATATTCTTTTCTATATTCTACTATTTCTATTTTCAAGGAATATACCATCTATGTTTTTTATACAACGTAGTTCTATTCAAATAATTATGTTTAAATTTAATTAAATATGTGTTATTTTACAATGTTAACGCTTATCACAAGATCTGTCTCTAGTTTTTCATTCTATTTCGTACCCCCTAGAGAAATGCTATTTACTAACAAAGAAATTCTTACATCTTTGCGACTCGTATCTGATTATGTTCAAGCCCTTGCTATTATTATCGTATCACTGGAAAGTTGCACAAAATCGAAGCGCATGTTTGCTAATTTAGGCTGAACAAAAATTTAACGTGATAAAATAAAACGCACGTATATCATTAAATCTATAAATTTATTAATAAAAATATAATCCTTTTAATAATTTTTAATAACTTTTTTTATAATGACGGAATGCATTGTACAATATTGCATTGTGGAATGTATATAGAAAATATATAAAAGGTTCTTATATTTTTTCTTGAACGTGAAATTCCTTTCATTAAACATGATAAAGAATATTAATTAATAATGTACATTACATTGAATATTTAAATAAAAAAATTTAAACGTAATTTACCAAACAGATCTAAGAAAATTACACCGAAGAAATTAATATGTTGCGTGTTATATTCATTGCTCCTAAATGGCGTTAGTTTTACGGCAGATTAGCGGAATGCAAACATGCGACTTCAAGACGTGCCCCATCAAAGCGAACTTTCATTTAAATCATTAATTTAAATGAAACATGCAGTCATTAAATGGGCTCAAAAAAAGAGCCTCTCAAAAACTGCAACTCTGAAATTCAGTGATGTGAGAGTCCGTGCGAACGTGTCGGCTAGTGATGAGAGAATGCGCGTGTTACATAAACGGACGCCCATTAATTGCATTATCGTTAGAATGAAAAAAAAAATAACAAAAACTGACGGCTCGATAATTAGCTCGCAATAAACTAAACGCAGGCGCAGTTGTTAAGTGTTCCGTTTTGTAAATAGCTCCACGGCGAACCCGTGTTAATTGCGAGAACGAGACTTGGACTTGGCGGAAGTGTGAGAAAACGCAAAAAAAAAAAATGATAACGAAAACCAGCGTACAGCAAGAACGGCCTCAAAAACGGTACAGAGATATTCCGTCGACCGACACGATGGGATGACGGTGAACCCAATGGTGCAATTCGGCACGAGTGACGAATTCGAAAACAAATGTTGAAATATTTTTCGGTCGCAATTTTATCGATATTTTGCGATTATTTATAATTTTCGAGAACATTGCACACAAGTGCATCGATTATATAACAAATGTCAAAATCTCTTATTTATGGCTATTTTTGCTACTGCACAAAATTAAATTCAAATTAATTTTTTATAAGAATAATGATGTATTAGAATTACACCACTTGGGAATGAAAAATTGTACATATATAAAATTTCTTCCATACATACGTTATCACACATACTTCGATATAAAAAATATTATATCTAACTAAATGCAAACGTGTAATTACATATATTTTAATTGTATATATGTGTATTAATATTTTAATATAATTGCAAGGCCTTTTCGTAAAAAGAATACTTGAACTATCGTCTAAATATACGTATATGTCGCAATAAATATAAAAGTATTAATCAAAGTATAATCAAAAGAACAAGTGGAAAATATATATACAAATTAAAAAAATGTAACTCTTTCACTTTCACTTAAAGATATTTAACAATTATTATTCCAGTAAGATATACACTTGTAATATTCTTACAGAATATATTTTCCCAAAAAAATATTTTTAAAGATATGATAGAATATCGATGGAAAAGTGACAGGGTTAACTAAAAGAAGAACAAAAAAATTTAATATCAGCAAACGGCGCTGCTGTAGCAATTAACACGTAATGTATTAACTGCCATGATAATAATTTATAAGAAAAATATTTTTTATTGCTAAATATCTTATTTATTAATTACAATATGATATACGCAATGTATGAGAACTGTCAGTGACTT